GGTTAATGCATTTATACCACAAAATGCATTTATACAATAGATTAATGCATTTATTGCAACAAGATGATCATTATATAACAGGATAATTGCATTTATTACAATAGGATCATGCATTATACAATAGGTTAATTCATTATACACAGGATAATGCATTTATTACAATAGGAAATGCATTTTAGTCAATAGGATAATAGATGTAATGCACCAGGATAATGCATTTATCATATGCATAATGCATTATTACAATCGGATAATGCAAATTTATACAAGATAATGTGCATTTATATACTAGGTTAATGCATTATACAACAAGATAATGCATTTGTGCACAGCTTATGCATTTATCAATAGGACCCTGCTTTATACAACGATAATGCATTTACCATAAATAATGCATTCATCAAGATAATGCATTTAGACAATACTTTAATGCATTCATCAACAGAATAATGCCCTTATACAACCGGATAATGCATTTATACAATAGGATATTGCATTTATAAACAACAGGATAATGGATTTATACAATAGGATACATGCATTTACACAACAGGTTAATGCACTTATACACAGGATAATGCAGTTTTATAATCTCATTAATATTCACCAGTTCTTCGGACTCCTCATCTGTAAACGTCTCTGAGAGAAACAGTGATGTTTTGCGCTGGTTTGTATGTGACGCCATTATATTACCATTCAGGAAGGATATTGTTTACCAATATACAAATCAACAATTGTAACCTGTTAAAACAACAAGCCCAACAGACCTTACAAAAACCAGAAACCCAAGAAACCACTTAATGGTTTCTGGTGGGGTTTTTCATCATGATACTGTTAAAAATAAAGTTTTGTTTAGTCTAAAGCTTAATATTATGCTCAGTTTAAGCTGCTTATGTAAAGGTTTTACTACTACAAATGTAAGTGTTCACATAAGCCCCCGTATTAGGGAAAGTGAACTGTGCTTATATGTCTACATGACCCTTGTTTATCCAGACTACATCAGGCTTTAGTGTGTAATATTTACCCTGTGAATCTCTATATGCGTTGAAACAAGAGTTTGTTTGTCTAACAATTATTTTGTCTAACATTAGCCCAATTCACTTTCTCATAATTTATTGAAATCCGACCTAAAACTGAAATATCGATAGCCTCAAAAATCCTAAGAAAAAAACCAGAATTTTCGGTGTATGTGGCTGATTGCCACTGGCTTGAACCTGCAGAAAGAAAGTGCTGTGGTGAAACTGTGGCAACACAATAAGGGCCCTTTTTTATGATTATGTTGACTTGCTCAACATTGCCTAGGAAAATGAAAGTCTGCTTCCGTTGTGTAATCAGTCAGAAGGTCAATTTGTTATTGCCTTTCAAGCATGTTTGTTGCACTGCTCTGCCAGTTAAATACACTTTATTATCCGAAAAGTCTGCACTGACCCATCATTAGGAAGTTCAGGTGTTCCGAATCAGCTGTCTCACCCATGGCCACGAGGTGTATAAAACCGAGACGACCAACTAGGCTGCAGGTACTGCGATTCTACAAACATGTAGGAAAGAATGTGTCGCGCGGGCGGGTCAGGGTGAGGAGCTCAGTGGAACTCCAGCGTGGTACGGTGATGGAAGCCACACCTGTGCCACAAGTCCGCAGGCGTGAATTTGCCTCCCTACTAAATATTCCGACGATCAACTGTCAGTGGTGTATGTATAATAGATAGTGGAAGCGATTAGGAACGACAGCTAACTCAGAGCCACGAGGTGGTCAGCCACGATAAAATGGACAGAGTGGGTCAGTGAATGCTGAGTGCATATGCGCAGAGGTCGCCAACGTTTCGGAGCAGAGTCAATCGCGTGACAGACGGACCCATCGCAAACTTCATGTGGCCGAGCATCCAGCCTGTACATCACGCAGCATAATGCAAAGCGTCGAATGCGTGTGGTAAAGCGCGTGCGACTGGACTCGTGAAGCGCAGCGGAGCAGTGAAGACGGTTCGTCTGGCGTGACCAATTGGTCACAGCTTCTCTGTCTGGCAATCCGATGGACGAGGCGTCTGGTTAGGCGGTTGCCAGGGAACGAACGTACTTGTCTGACTGCACTGTGCCAATGGGTAAAGTTTGTGGAGGGCATTATGGATGTGGGGGTGTTTTTGGCGGAGGAGTTGGCTCGGCCCCTTAGTTCGCAGTGAAAGAAACTCTTAATCGCTTCCGCAGACACAAGAGAAGTTTTGGACACATTTCAGGCGTCCCAACTTTTGTGGGAACAGATTGTGGGGACGGCCCGTTCCTGTTCCAACATGACTGCAGCACAGCGGGGAGTGCACAAAGCAAGTCATAGAGACGTGGATGAGCGAATCTGTGGGGTGTGGAGAAGAACTTGACTGCCTGCGACAGAGGTCCTGCCCTCACACTGATAGAACCCTGTGGGATGAACTAGAGACATGCAGAAGAGCTGCGAGCAGGCCGTCATCATGCCAACACATCAGTGGAACTCATGACCTCGTGAGCCAAATGCGCTCTGGAGAATGGTCAAAATTCCCATAACACTCCCTAACCTTGTGAAACGCCTTCCCAGAAGTAGTCAGAAGCTGTTTACATATCATATTAAACCTATGGATTAGATGGATGTCACTCCAGTTCATATGTGTGTGAACGGCAGATGCGTGAATACGTTATCTGCACGTATAGTGTACAGTGTGCACGCATGATCTGATCTCTGAGAGCTGTATTTGGCTCAGTGTGCTTCAGAGAACAGATCCCTTTCACTTTTGTTTCATCACGTTACTGCCAAGTTTAATGCTCTGTAATGGTGGGGAAATGAGACAAAAAGTGTGCGGGTATTTTGCACTGACATTTCGCGTCTCATGCCATCTGACATGCCTAAACATCTTCCCAATGCGAACTGGTCCTCGCTTTTAGGTATAGTCTGCACAAGGACAATACGACACATCCAGTCACCACTGTGTTTAATCCCACCACAGGCATCTAATAATAATAAAAGCATGAAGTCTACTGTCAATTGCCATCTCTTGTACAGTCAAGATCAGTGAAGGGCTGAACTTGTTATGGACCATTTGCAAAAGCTGTGTACACAGAGATGACATGGAATTGTGCATCATGATTCAGCAGAAACTCCACTGTGTGAAAACATATTCTGCCATAATGAGCCCCTCCATCAAATGAACCCAGAATGATCTTGGGTGTGGAGATCTTAGACAATCTGACACCCTGTAGTGACTGTCTCTGGGGCATGGCTCCACACACTCACAGTATGCCATCCCTGACTGATCTTGAGGGCACTATTAATGGGCACGCACATACCTGTCATGTCCTTCAGCAAGTACAGCATTTGATATTCTCTGATTTTTGTCCGTATTAGAAAATGTAATTCATATAATTCTATACAACGTCAGAGATCACTCGTCACTGATAATTTCCATTCAAAACAGCCATAAAGTACAAGTTACTTATTTTTCAGCAGCAAGAAAAAAAAAGGAAAATCATACTGAGCGCCTCAACAGCTAAATCTACTATCAGCTGTTTGAGTAGCGACAGCTTCCATTCTTTCAGGAGCGTGCACTTTCAGTTCCTCAAGAACTGCAGACACACCTCCAAGTTCAGTCTTAGAGCTGGTTGATTCATTTTCTGAAGTAATCAAAGACACATTCAGTGGTGTTGAGGTCTGGACTCTGGGGTGGTCAGTCCATTGTTCAGCTTCTTTGTTTGATGTGATCCGTCTCCTTTTCTCAGTGTAGGTTCTTCTTGATCAGCTACACATCCTTCAGACCCACAGCGCTGAGTCGTCTCCTCACGAGTGGAAGGATGGACAGAAACACCTGTGGATGTTTTCAGATCTGAAGCTAGCTGATTTTCTCCTCTCTCTCTCAAAGATGAAGAGCTTAAGTGCTGTTTATCTGAGTTAGCAGTTTGGGGTCTACCAGGTCTTCCAGGTGGTTGTTAGGAGACACATTTTCTCTTTATTTTTTACTTATTCTCCTTTGACTTTCTTCTCCTTATGGCAAAAGATTATCACCTAATCTCTATCAGAGATATCCCTAGACAAAATTACAAACTTGTGACTTAATCTCCATTTTTGACTGGAAATGAACCCCCCTTGAATGGCAAGGGCCCTCCAGGCGGGCCCAATTTTTTATTACACACTTCATATAACCTAAGAACAGCTCAGCTCGTTTGTCCCTGTAGTTACTGAATAATAGGCCTTAGTATGTAATAAGCCTGGGATTTTAAGGGGTAAACTAATGAAGGGTGCTGTATAACAATATACTGCTGAACCACCACTGCAATCATTTGTTTTTTGTTTACTAAGTAAACAAACACACTAATTAAGTCAGACCTGCTGTCTTATTGGACTAAAGCTGTATTTATTAACGTTTGCGTGTTGTGTATGATCTGAGGCGTGTTTTCAGCGAGGCTCTGTGATGAGTTGGGGGTAATGAGTGATGTTTGCTGTTCGGTCGTCTCTTCTGAAGGTGAAAACCACAAGGGTTTCCTGTGGAAGGCAGCACATTTCTTGTTGTCTCTTTCAGTCAAAGTGGAACATGTTTGTCCGCCTATGTTGTCCCCTCGGACCAGACTGCACTTTAGCTCCCCTCACCTGCCGATAAAACACTGAGGCCCAGAGACTAGGTCGCCCGTTACCCTCGTATCAGCAGCACTCATCACCTGTGAGGCCGAATCTGCAGCCCATGCGAAACCTTTACTGCGCTCTCCTGCTTGGCCTGCTGGTGGTCACCTGCCTTCAGCCGTTCGCGCGCGCAGGCAACAGTAAGCCTGTTTTGGGTTTTCAGCTCTTTTGTATCTATATTTCTGACATTCTGTGTGTTTCTTGTATCGAGTCCACATTGTTGCCTTGTCTGTTTCATCTATATGTCTGTTTAAATGCTGACTGTTAAAACACTAAGACTTGGTAGTGACCAGTAAGTTGCTGGTTTAAAGACTGTAACCTGCTGTGGTGTAATTGACCTTTGGTGCTCTATTGATGCTACACTTACAGTCTAGACAGAGTAATTAGATGAAAATGCACAGTGAAAGCTGAACTCTTTAATTCAATTTACATTGTCATTTGCAAAATGTGAACACTCCTGGTCAAATTCCATATTTGTCAATTTTCTAGTGAAAATAATTTAAAACATCCTCTACAGAGAGCCGCACATAAATATGACACTTTCTGCACAAATTTTTGTGCACAATTTCAATTTATTTGCTATATATAATTTATTATTTTTTGTTTGTTCTTATTTTTCACTATGAGAAATTAGCATAATTTTGACAGGGGTGCCCAAACTTTTTCATACAACAGTGTAGAAGTGATGTTGTAGTTTTAACCAATTTCGACTTTAGCACACTTTCTGTCCATAAAAAATCATTTTGTTTGTATAAATGTATATATTTCTGAGCAAAAGCATGGCTTTATTTCACTGCTTACCAAGCCTACAATTAATATAATAATAATAATAATATAATAATAATAATATCTTTTTCCTCACAGATGGAAAATCGCAGAGGAATGTTGTTTTAATTTCTTCATCAAACCAATCCCAGTAAGATCCATCGTGTCCTATGAAGAAACAAGAACTGACTGTCCAAAAGCTGCAGTCGTGTAGGTCTTCACCCTCTTCTGCTCTATTAATAGTTCATTTTTGAGATGAGAGGATTATGTTATAACTATGAGTTGTACACTTCTCTTACAGTGCTATAGTATGAGTGTGTGTCAGAGCTACTGGACAGAACCTGCTTCCTCATAGATATTCCTACACTGTTTCTGAATGTTTTCTGTATAATTAAACAAAACTCTCGTCTCATCTGCAGCTTTACCACCAAGAAAAAGCTCGTATGTGTGTGGACCCCGGCTTCAAGTGGGTGAAGCGAGCCATAGAGCAGATGATATTAGAAATATGACGGCTCCGCAGGTGTTAAACCCCATCTGGATTAATAGGAAATCGCGTATGGTTTCTTTATGGAATGCACTTTTCATCTCCTTATGACAGCAGCGCTAGGATGGTCTCTGCCCTGGACCAGAGAATAAAGCTTTTTTCTTATAAATCACTTTAAACAGAAAGCTCACATGACTCTGTCATTGTGTAACTGTATTAAATATGTCCTCTATGTATGATTTTCTGTTTCCTGCTACACAAGTTAAAAGTACACTCATACTGTCACTGCAAATCCTTTGATAATAAAAATACTTTTAAAGAAACAATGTTTTGATGGATTCCAGAAGATCAGGTACATTGCGAGAGGATTACTGGTTAAGATTTTTAGGAGAAAGTTTGGCATGTCAAACAATAGGATAATGCATTACATTATAGGATAATACATCAGTACAACAGGATAATGCATTTATACAATAATGCATTTATACATAGTACAATGCATTTACACTACAGGATAATGTATTTATATATTCATACAACACGATAATGCCAGTTAATCACGAATCCTTTTATGTCACCCAAAATGTTTCACATACAAGGATAGGCTTGGGTGAGAGCACTCACTGCACCAGACAAGCTCACAGACTAGTAACAAATATCTCTTTTAATGAAAATGAAAATAAAAAACAATAAAAATAAATAGAATAATAATAAAGGCCAGTGTGAAAGGAGCTGAAGAGATGTGTGAATATCTGTACATATGAAGGTCTGAGTAGACATAATACAATATCTATTATATTCAGATCTGTAAAAGAATATATGAACATTTTGATAAAACATCACTGTCACATTTGTGCAAATAGCATTATGTTACAGAGGAGTTACTGTAATACAGTGAGGGAGTGTAGAGTCAGTGTTGTGTGAGTGTCCACTGTGGTTAATAAGCTACAGCGTGGAAAAGCTGTTGAGCAGTGATCTGGCTGTGCTGGTTTGGATGGTCCTGAATCTTCTACCAGAGTGGTGCGCTTCTTCACTCTGTTGCTGTAGATGCCCTGAAGGGTTAGCAGATACCTCCGATGATCCTCTCCACTGTCCTGATTATCGCGCTGGAGTTTGGCTCAGTTTTCGTGAGTGTGAGGAACCAACACAGGCGGTTATGGATGCTGTAAGGCTGGACTCACTGTGTAGAACTGAATCATCAGGCTCTGTGGCAGGTTGACTTCAGCTGTCTCAGGAAGAAACATTCTCTGCTGAGCTCTCTTGGTGATTGAGACCGTGTTCCTCTCCTACTTCAGGTCCCTGGATGTGGTGGTGCACAGAAACTTGAGTGACTCCACAGGAGAAACCGATATACATACAATAGATATAACAATAGCATGATATATAACACATTTAAACATGCATTATGAAAATAAATAGCATCCAGGATTATAATATAATCAAATAAAACATCCCCCCCAATTCTGTTATCAGAAGAACTAGGACACTGGTGTGACATGACTGTGACTCTGTGTTGAGCTGCTAGTGAGCAATGAGGGGTGAACTTTCTGTATTGTACTTTCTAAGAAGGCTGAAGAAACCAAACCAGAATCTCAGCAACTTCTACAGGTGTACTGTGAGAGTGTCCTTACCAGCTCCATCACAGTCTGGTACGGAAACTGCACTCTGGACAGGAAGGCTCTCCAGTGTGTGATCAGATCTGCAAGTCCAGCTCGGAGCGGCCTTCCCTCACTGCTAGGGTCATCATGGGCACTCAACCATCATCAGGGACAGTACCTCCCCCAACACAACCTCTTCACACTTCTACCATACACAGAAGCTACAGGAGTTGAGTCCAGGACAACAAGACTGACAAACGACAGGCCATCAAGCTGGCAATGACTCCCTCACACACTGCCCTTCCCATCACTCTGACTATATGCGTTCAAAACCAAGTCTGGCTAACACACACACCACTCACACACACACACACACTCACACACACACACACACACACCACACACACCATTATTATTGAACTCTACACACATAAATAGATTTATTGCTACTGTCATTCGTATTGTGTTATTGGCAATAATGCACAGTACACTTATGACCGCTGCTACTCTGCTCTTATGCTGCACATGTAACTTGCTGCACAAAACCACGCAAGTAATTTTAACGACTAAGTCAACTTATTTACATCTACCTCTTTAAAGTAACCACCTGTTTTACTGTGCATATGACAATGAAAGGATACGTTCAAAAACTAAAGTTTTTAGTCTAAAGCTTAATATTATGCTCAATTAAGCTGCTTAATGTAAAGGTTTACTCCTGCAAATGTAAGTGTACAGATAAAGCCCACGCATTAGGGTAAGTTAACTGAGCTTTATGTCTACATAACCCAGTAGTTCACCCAGGCCACATTAGCTGTAGTTTATATTGTGTAATATTAATGCCACTGGCTTGAACCTGCGGAATGAAAGTGCTGGCGTGAAACGTGTGGCAACACAATAAGACCGTTTTTATGAATGTTGACGTGCTCGCTGGCCTACGAAGATGAAAAGTCCTGCTTTCAGTTTTGTAATCAGTCAAGAAGGTCAATTTATTATTGCGTTTCAAGGATGTTTTTGCAATGATCTGCCAGGTTAAATACTTGTGCACCATATCTGATCTCTGAAGCTGTATTTGAGCCCAGTGGTGCTTCAGAGAACGGATCCCTTTCACTTTTGTTTCATCACATTACTCCAAGTTTAATGCTCTGTATGAGACAAAAAGTGGTGCGGGTAGTTTGCACTGACAGTTTCGCGTCTCATGCCATCTGACATGGCTAAACATCTTCCCAAGTGAGAACGGCTCCTCGTTTTTAGGTATATCTGCACAAGGACATTCCACACATCCAGTCACCACTGCTAATCCCACCAGGCATCTCACAATAATAAAAGCATGTGTCTATTATCAATGCCATCTCTTTATAGTCAAAATCAGTGAAGGCTGAACCCTTTACAGACTATTTGCAAAAGCTGGCCTTGCCCCCCCCCATACCTGTTGTGTCCTTTGGCAATTGCTGTCCTGACTTGGAAGGTTTAGCGAAAAGCTTCCTAGCACCTGTGACTCAAGGAGTACCAGGCAAACAGGCATAATCATGACTCATGAACAGGGATGTTAAACTGGTTAAGCCACAGCTCTGCAGAGTTAGGTTTGCCTCATTCAACTAACCTCAACTCATCAGCTAATTAGCAGGCTTGACTTCAGAGCTTTAGAGAGAGTGAAATTCTCTGCAGAACTGAGGTCTGTAAGGAACCAAGGTTGAATCTCCTGGCACAGAGAACATGCGTCCTCAGGAAGCCTTGCCTCTCCATTGATTTCCCTGTTGGAGGCACTTTGCCTCAACTAATGTACCCAGACATGAAGTACAGATACACAGATGATACCCTAGTTGAACGTTTTCTCTGAAGAAAGTAGTTTAGGTCACATTGAGCTACTTCCTTCCTCCTGCAGATGTGGAGCTGGTTGCTGGGGCTTCTCTTCAGTTACTGAAATTTATTGCTCAAGACTGTTGGAAGCACTTCATGTCTTGACTATTGCCATGCATCCTCTCTCCAAGCTATGAGTGATACCTGGTACCTGGGTGAAACTGCCCCAGAATAGCCCCCTTTGGTCAATTCCTTCACATAAGGAGGCAGTCTTAACCACATCCCTATCAGATTGGTGTGAAGTTACCCATGCTGGTATTAAATTATTATAACCTTAAAACATATCAATGGAGGTACTCATTGTTCATCTGGCACTAAACTATTTTCTTCTACTCTGAAAACACTTTACAGAACTCGATGGACTGCGATTCCATGGTTTCCATTGTTCTGCCTTTTCTTACGGGCTCACTGATGGGGCAAAAGGAAAAAAAAATCCACTCTTACCCCAAATCAGCTGAGACACGTTTAATTTCTGAAGTCTTCTTTACTTTTACAGAGGAACCACAAGTCTAATGTAGCTGAGAACTAAGGTAAATATACAGTTAGGGCCATAAATATTTGAAAACTGTCCAGCACAGAAAAACTGCAGGAAACATCTGTTTTTTTCAACTTATTTCCATTTACTTTCTCCTCCTTATGCAAGTGGATTATCTTACATCTAATCACCTAAGAAATATCTCTTGAAAAATAATAACATGTATGTAATGGCTGTTTTGACTGGAAATCAAATAAACAAAGGGTGGCATCTGACTTTTGTACAACTCCAATATGCTGTGCTAGACAGATAGAATAACAATAACTTTGTCAAGGTCCAAATATTTATGGATCTAACTGTACATTATTCTTTTTTTTGTGTCATCCAGTACTGTACAAAAGGCAGAGACCAGTCTTTGTTTAGAACCCCATTTCCAAAGAAGTTGGGACGCTGTGCAAATTGTAATTACAAACAGAATGCAATGATGTGCAGATCAATAAACCATATATTTCACTGAAAACAGTACAAAGACAACACATCAAATGTTGAAGTGATAAATGTATATTTTTTTAAATACATACCCATTTTGAATTTGATGCCAGCAACATGTTTCTCTTTTTTTTAACAGCACTCTGTAAGTGTTTGGGAACTGAGGAGACACTGCTGTAGCTTTGAAAGTGAAATGTTTCTCATTCTTGCTTGATGTTGGATTTCAGCTGCTGAACAGTTCAGGGTCTCCTTTCTTATATTTTTCGTTTCATAATGCGCCAAATGTTTCCAACTGGTAACAGTCTGGACTGCAGGAAGGCCAGTTTAACCAGTTTTAAAGAATAGGATACTTTTAAAGTCAGATCTTCATACCATGTTGTGGAAGTGTAACATGGCACAAACAAAAGATTTATTAGGACCTCATAAAATGAGTTGTTGATGCTGGAAAAGGTCCAAACCATGCCAAATGAGTTTGGACTCCACCAATTCACAGTCAGACAGACTGTGTACAAATAGAGGAAATTCAAGACCATTGTTATGCTCCACAGGAGTGGTCGACCAACAAAGATCATCCCAAGAGCAAGACGTGTAATAGTCCGCGAGGTCACAGAGGAACCCAGGATAACTTCTAAAGGCCCGTCTCACAGTGGCTAATGTTAATGTTCATGAGTCCACCATCAGATGTACACTGAACAACAATGGTTTGCATGGCAGGGTTGCAAAAGAGAAGCCGCAGCTCTACAAAAAGAACATTGCTGCCCATCTGCAGTT